TTGAAAGGAAAATTTTTATTCTATGAATAGCATTATCCTCTTTTCTTTTCATTAATTCCATTGGACAATGCGAATAAACTTTACTGATAGTAATTTTGTCTGTTTCTGAGGTATTTCAGAATCCACTGTAGATTTTCTGATATTCGAAAGTTTTACGACTTCGTTATATAATCTTCCATTTGAAGATGGCTTGCATATTTAAAACTGTTTCTGGTTTATACTTCTTCGTTTCAGATTCTTCCGCTTTAATATTCACTTTTAGAATACACGGTACAGCGTTAAGCTTAGAGTAAACTGAGTGAAGTATCATTTAGCTGTACTCCTGACATTTCTAATCATCTGTAACATCTAAAGAAATTCGAATGACGTTAGAAAGTTTTAATATTTCGGTAAAAAATGAATGGTGCATTTTATTAAATTTATATTAATTCCTATTTTATTAACTGCTTTAGTTTTAGTATTTCGTAAGCTACTGTGCACGTTTGATATTGCCGTGAAATATTTCCAAGCGTTTATAACTTATTCAAATAGAACTCGAAATGTCAGGTAGACGTGTGATTAACTTGCATTTGAATATCCCTAATAGATTTCGTATTTGTAGCAGCGATGGGTATAGACAGATCAGTACTATCGGACAGTCACGATAGTATCGAGTCGTAAATACTGCGTGATCTAAGACCGAGTTCTGTCCACGGGTCTGGCAGTGCGCGTGCTTGCTTACATCCATCTCAGTGTGTTGAGATAGTCAAATGAAGATCAGATAGGACGAAGAGGCCCTTTGAATAAATCCTCAGACCGATAGGAAGGCGGTCCCAGGAGGTTTGCTCGACAGTGCGATAGCCGATAATGGCCTGGTTCAGGCACCGTCCAATTCTAGGGTTAATTACCATCGTTTTAACCCGCTATGCCGAGTCGTTTTGGAAAATTAATTTTACGACAATGGGGATGTCGATACTTCCTTTTGCTCCGGAACGGTTTTCAAGGCGGACCGCAAATAAACGATTCGATTAACTTGTTACGTTCACGGAAGAATTTTAACGTTTAATCGATGCGTCAACCGACCCCTAATTGAGAAGTTCAACGCAGTCAATGTCCAGGGTCCCGCTCTCGCCGATATCGATGCTTGAAATTTATTACCGGCTCCGTTCTCGCCGGAATCGTGGTGCCGTAAATGTCTTATGAATTTACGCAACTCGTTTATATAGTGAACTGTACCCATTGAAGAAGGTCAGCAGCAGGGATTGTGCGCTGAAATGTATGGTTGCTGTATTTTATGGAAATAATTTGTGGGGAGGTTCCGATGAAAAGACTAAAGCGAATCGTACTACCTTCTGTTACGTATTTAAATCTCTGACTACAATAAAGTGTGTAAGTAAAGGAATTTTTGGAAATTATGAGAAGATCTGGAGTTGTAGAATTGAAAATGAACCGAGGTTTGTGGAAATATATACACTTGATCGAGGTACATGTTCTCGACTTTTTCCGCTTCAGCATTTTTCTGGTAGCTAATTTAAAAAAATACGAATGTAATAATAATTATATTAAATTAACAATAAAACAATAATACAAGCTTTCAATGCGTGTGATTTTTCTTTAGATCTAAAACAATTTAATTGTAAAGCAAAAGCAGTATAAATCACAATGAATTTGGATAATTGTAAGTTTAATGATGATTATACTATTTTTGCCATAAATTTCAAACATGGTAGAAGTAAACCGTGGGTCTACAAGCAAAAGTGTGTGTAGAGAGTTCAAACTGTACGCGTGTAGCCGTCGTAGAGCATCGAGCATCAGGCTCGTTCAAAACGGCTAAAAGCGCAAAACAAAGCAGCGCAGAATGCCAATACTTTTTTCAAGAGATGGAAGAATTGATGTATGGCCCTGGAATAACAGATTAACGCTAAATCGAAAACTTTCACACTTCCTCCACGTAAAGTTTTATACACAAATTTTCGAAAATCTTTTTAATATTTCGAACACGTATTTTTTTAGAGCAAATGCTAAAAATTGAGAAAAATTAATATTCAACGTCAAGTGTCTATTTTATCAAAAATGTTTTTTACCATTTTTGTAGGATAATCGATTGAAAGTTATATAACTCTTAATAACCTTGTTCTTTTTATTTCACTCTGATGGTTTATATTAGTCTGGCTATTTTGGATGTTTCGTCTGAAATCTGAAAGTTAACAACCTTTTAGTAGCATTTGCAACGTACAATTAAACAGAGAATATTTAGTTATAAATATGTTTCTATCCTAGTTGAAGATATTTCTAAAAAGATGTAAAACCTCTCTTTGAACTATTTGCTGTAAGTTGTTTCTTGCCTTTAAAAGTAATGTATATTTGATGACTTCGTGTCAGAATTCTCTTTGAAGGTGTAAATACTTAAATGAACTACAGAAAAAGACAACTTTTTAAGCAATGAAAAATTAGAAAGTACAGCGGCTTTGAATAAAGTAATCATTTAGAAATAAATACAGAAGAACCTCGATTATATAATTTAATAACGCATTAATAGTCAGTAATATATATATGTTGCTTTCCCAAAAGATTCATTTGCTGTAAAAATATAATGTTTACGAGTAGGTTAACAAAATTAACGCAAATACAAACAACGTTGCTTCGAGAATCATTCTACAGGTGTCATAGTGTCATAGTGGTACCATATTGTATATATTGTTTCATATTCAGCAACATGTATATGTATACAATAAGGAACTGACATGATTATTGAAAACAACGCAGACGTTAAAGTTATTAACTAGTTTCAAGGCACAGCATTGTGCACTTATGGCTGATGCCTGACGATTGAATGTTTTTAAGCGCACAACAGAAGAAAGTTCAAAACAACAAAGAATTTGTCGCGAACAATTAAACAACGTAAACGTAGTAAGGTCACAAAGTCGATACAAAAATCAATAACATCGTGTAGATTGAATCTTTGCAAGTCATGACAATGGTTTTACCGAAATATTATAACATTCTATATAAAATTATCTTGTAAAACCTCGTAAAACCATTCTTGCCATAAGTATTCTCAGTTTTCTTTTCATAAATAACAGGAAGGGGAAATTTTATAAAAACCTATACTCCATAGTAAAAATTATTCGATTTTTCAGTGTTGCTTCACGAAAATGAAAAACACTGTACTCTAGAACTAAATATACAATCGGTACGCATTAAGAAAATATTTAAAAATACACTTTATTCGTCATGAAAACGATATTTGTGTATTGGTTCATTCTCTGCCGCTCCTGTTATACATCATTTCTTAATATAACACAGATGTACCGTAACTCGAAGGGAGTCTGCTCGTAAAATAATGAAATACGACTAACGTACTGTTATTTATATCAATTACAAAGTAACGAGTTGATTCTAAGTAGCTTGCGTGCGCGCAATGCCCGTGGGCGTTGGTAGTTACCTGCTTATATAGTTTCTATCGTTATATCGATGTTATTATATGGCCGAGGCGATACTGTAGCGAAGAGGTATTCGGCGCATAGTTCGCAGCATGGTTCATCAATGTATTCGCTGAACAAGCAGCGCGGTTAACGATGCTCTCTAAATTTCAATAAATCTCGGGAGCACGCGTTCCATTGTCCCCGTTGGACTCAGCGATTCCAACTTTAATTATCGACGTGGCCGGGAAATGATCCTCCGCGAGTCGCTCGGCTCTTTTTCCCATGGAAACGTCACGTTTATTTCGGAAGGAGAAACTAAAAGTTCGAAGAATTCAGTTGATAGCACGGCTCAGCGGCTGCGTGAGATACGGGCATTTCCATCGAGCGATCTTGTCGACACCCTTGCTTGTCGTGCGGTGCTTGTTTCGCGACGTGGAGAAAGAAAAAAAAAACCCCCGAAGTATAACGCGAAAGTTTTCTTTAATGCCCGACTGCCAGTAATTATGCTGCGAAAAGTTTCAATCAGCGGCATCTACTTTGCAGTGACACATTGACTGGCGTCGGGCAAATGTTGAGAAATGGTGGACGCACGCGACACGACGCCAACGGTGTACTTTATCACGTTTCTGATAAAACTTCTATAAATACTTCGTTTTGCGTAAGCCTCATAGGTACAAGTACGTACTTAATCTTTATGGTACTCACGATTTACGTCACGATCTTTTTTCTTGAATGAAACTGCGAAAGTTTAGTTTTTCGTACATGGGTTTCGTTCACGATTAAAAGTCACTTATGAAGTTCATTTATCGCAAACGTGTAATAATGGTTCGTAGGAAATTATCACCCACCAGAGTAAATATGGTAGGGTTAGAATAATAACCTGTGTAATTGAAAACTTTATAAAACTTTTATAACGCGACAATTTCGTTTAATATTAGCTGCGGCTTCAAAATACTATTGAAAGTAAAAATTGTTATGGTTACTACGTTCTTCGTTTAATTTCAAGTTAATTGAGTGTTATTAATCATATTATGAACACCAGGAGCCCGTCAATTTCATGCTTATTATAATTAAATGTTTGGTAAATATTTACGTCGACTTTGATTGATGTAATTGCGCCAGTATATCCCCCAATCATGTATCTTTAAACCTCTAACATCCAAGATCTAACTGTACGAAGATCAATTGTTCTAGGAGCAGTAGAATAAACCGTAGACAAAATGTCCGTAAACCTAGTGTTAAATATCTCTCTAGACTTATTATTCAAGCTTTTATTTTTAAAGGTTTTAAAACGTTCGTGAGTTATTACGAAAGGAAAATGCTATAATATCACGCTATACTATTACAGTTATGTTTATAGCAAACTGAGAAAACAGATTTATTTTGCGATAACCGTAACCATTACCGATAGCCTAAATAGGTAGAACGTTTATTCATAGCTAGCGTGGAACGTGGGTGTTGTTCTTACAAAAACCATAACCAGTCCGTTCCAGAGAAAGATATTATGTAATTCCTCCCAAAAGATTAGGATTTATCAATAAAATCTTGTTCTCGTTTCGCTTGTAATAATTTTCCCCGTTTTGCGTTTCATTCCAGGCTGTGCATTTCTCACCTACTACAGTCGTGACAGCGCAATCAGCGCCCAGAACGCTCTGCATGAGAAGCGGACTTTACCAGGGGTAAGTGTTTACACATTTACCGCGCAGTTTACCTACTTTCCGACTTCTTATATCCCGGTCGGACGACTTATTTTACGAAGGTTACGTCACCCCGGCGAAGTTATCTGACTTGTTCGTTATGAGCGCCCCTATTAGCCTAGATGCGATACGCCCAACAGTATGTACGCGTGGACTCAGCGAGGGATCACCTGTAAAAATTCTTCAAATATCATTTCGCCGAAAACTATTGGAAACGCTCCAAGCCAGCGGCGGGGGGGAGATTTGTAAAATGGCGATTTGTCCGGTTCGATTTTGCGGGCCAGTCCATCGAATAGCCATCGAACGTTCGTAAAACTTCACCGCTATAATTCTTCTCCGGGCGCAGTTTCACGTAAAAAGAGGTGAAGGCAGTAGTAACGTTAAGAGAGATAATTATCGCTGCCGGAGCCGTATGGCGCTTTCCCGGCTAATTCTGGCGACTTACCCCGCGATCCGGAATATTAAAATGGCCCGGCGTGACAAGTTAATCTCTTAACGCCGAAAGGGTAGTTAGGAAGGGAATAGAGGGTCGATGGTAAGGGTTGAGGGAACGGAGTGGGGGTAGTCGGAGGGGGGACGAGGGCAACTAGCAGAATCCGCGATGTATCATCAGACTTTCTGTAGCTTCTGCGAATGCCAGGGCTGGCTGCGCGCATTCTTGTCCTCCGGTGATGCCGGAATTTCGCGTTCATTTCTTTTTCACAAAAGGGACTGGAAAAATAGCGTCCCACATAAAAATCACCTTTCCGCTAGTTATGGTATTACAAAAATAATGAAAATAGTGGCGCGAGCCGTAAACGTATTTGTATCCGAATACAACGATACACGGATCATTATTTAGCCTGTACGTTGGATTGACGCGTACGTCATTGTTAACGTAATTGCTTGTTTATTCGTATCAATTCTTGTTTGCAAATGACTTTCAATTATTGCGTACGTTATGTAAAGCTGAACGCGTTGAAACTGCAATATTGTTTATTGCAACGGGTAGCATTTATTTAACATTTTCCTTCGTTGGTAGCATTTCAATTTTCGATTTGCTAATTGAAATTCGAGCACTGCGCATTTTAATAATAAGAGTAGCGGGTGAAATGCAATTACTTAACCAGTTACAGTTATGATGTCTTCGAAATTGCAAATGGTTAAATTATCTGGCCGCGTTCACCTCCGAGGATAAATGTAAAGGTTAAAGTAAGCTTTTCGCTGCCTCGGTAATTCATCGTGACAGTGGAAACTTATAATACTACGATAACCAACTAATATTTTATTGCTCCATCTGTCGAATGGTATTCTCGTTCTTTAATGCCCCTATCGCAAGGACACGAATTAATCGCAGAATTTTGGGGTAATTTCAACTGTTTCTGGCGAGCCCGTCCGGGACCAGGTGTTTCCGAAATAAATCGTCGACTTCGTAGAATGTTTTCAAACCAAATGGACCATAGTTCTCCGAAAATTTTCCATCGATCGCGGCCGTGGGGGCTGAAGAGTACAAGCGCCGGCACTGAACGCTGCTTAACTGCCAGAGCAGTGCCAACACGCCCCTTCCTATTATCCGAGCTGCCCCTTGGAAGTCCGTAGCGAGTACTGGCGTTATGTTTCGTTAATCTATCCCCGAAACAACGCAGCTACGGTCTTGGCACTGCTGCCAGCGGAAATCGTTTTAAATGTTATGCCGAGAGATGTGCCGGAGGCTTGGCTGAGTTATGACTTTATGAAGAGGTAGACGCGTATATGCTGCTGCAGGACGCACTTCCGCGTGCGTGCGTGCGTGCGCACGTCCGAGCGTACGTTAGTCGTGCCAGCCAAATACGAAAAATCGCTTCAATTGCTTTCAGCGTGGTCCTGCGTGTACCCATTGACGTGCTCGAGATATTTAACGGTTTTATGTTACCCCACCGGGGGAAAATATTTTGTTCCACTTCATTTTTCGTGACCCGCAGCGAACTCGCGGAGAAATTGAAACGAAAATTAATTTGGCCGAACCGGAAAATATGTTTCTGTAGTATCGGGTATACCTTTTTACGTAAGAGTGCTCCAGTTTTTCGGATGAAAACTTCTTAAGGAGAGCTTGTCCCTTTTTCTCTTGGACCGCCATTTTGTGAAATAATCTTCTGAAGTAGTGGGATAATTGTTCGTTGAAACGTTATTTTGGAAACATAATTATTTACTGAAAACGTGCTCTGCTTTTCAGAATGTTTTGAAGATTGGTTTGTTAACGTACGTCTAGTTAAGTATGAGAAATGTTTGTAGAATGATTCATTTCAGTAGAAAGTTTGCAGAATTCTCTATATTATTTTATTTCTGTAGGCCGTACTACATTTATACATTTGTTTATTTTAGTACGTGGAAAATCTGTTTTTACATTTGCTTGTTAAATGTATTATTTTGCATATTTTGTTGCATTAAATGAAATTATTAAAAATATTTATTTTGGATATAAGGATTATCGAGATGGAAAAATCTTTGGAATAAATTGTTTACAAGTAATATTAAATTATTTGCAGCATTTATACAAGTATTAATAAAAACTAAGATCAATAATAATATACACATAATTGGCATTCGTACATTCTTCTGCAATTATGTAGTGGAAACGTGCCACACTACAGAAAACGTTAATATGCATAAAGCAGTATATGTATTTTGAGATGTCATTAACGTTAAAAGGGTCGGAGATGTAGGGAAATGACTGAAGTAACGACGAAAATTATTATAAACTTGTTCAACTTCAAAACATTATCTGAAATTTATGAAATTATAAAAAGAAAGGAATCCTCGATTCAAGAGATCATTAGTGAAAGAAAACTTCTAAAAAATAACGCGACTATTGGACGTCCTCGAAAGATACTACTGATGAATAATTAATTTACAAAATAAAGCAGAACTGAAAGATAAATAGAATTCACAACACATCTTAACACGTTCACGTACCACCGGTGGCTCACACTTTAATGTCACATTAGACGGCATGTACTATCAAATATGTAGTTCATTAAACTGGTTTGGTAAATAAAAAAGTTGGCACATAGTTGAAGATTAATTTACTTATTGATAATTTCAATATTCTCAAAAATTTACAACGCTAGCTTGAACGTGCCAAATGCGTTTTAATTTTTGATAAAATGAAAGCTGCTGTGGTAGAGCATTTCGTAAGGAATATTTTATATATGACATTAATAGAAAGAAATGATTATTGTCGCTAAAAGAGTGTACCAATATCCCAATGGAATATTGAAAGATAAAAGATACCGAACATGAGAAAAGAAACTCGCAACTGACTGTAGTATGTACACGGTGCAAATTCAGTCGTATGTTACAAATGCATGAGTGCAAGTGGCAATGTACCTGTTCAGTTTGTCGATGATATCGTGAAACATAAAATTTATATTATATTTTGGAACAGCATATCGACGTTGAAAACAGAATGGAACTTGAAAGGAATTTCATTTGTACTTAAAGTAATCATCCAGAATACTTTGCTGACAATATAAGACTTAAAGAAAAAATTCAGTGTCGAATCAGTATTACCTAAGCTCTTTCTTGATATTGACACATTGTTGAATTTTACGCAGAAGCTAATCCATGTCACCGGTTATTATATCGTACTTAAATATAAAAGTGAAACGATCTAAATAAACTATATTTATACATAATTTGCATATACCTCTTATATAACTTCGAATATTTTCCTTTTTCAATATTCTATATTGTTCTGCGTTTCAAAAAGTGAAATAACTAATGCAACTGCAAACACGAGTTAACTCGTGACCGGTCAACAATGTCTTAATTGCAGTACGAACGCTTTCAACCTTCGCCTTCATTACGTAGAGTTCACCAAATGCACTTATATCTCTTCAACGTAAGAAATCTTAACTCTCCACCCTCAAACCATTCTGTACCGTTCGATCATGCTATCAACTACACTCAATGAATAATCCAATTTACATTCAATACAATTTCCCTTCCCCGCGCTCGATATAAATGGCACAGGATGTCGGCGACAATAACGACTGTTATTTAGGCATCACGTGTTTCTCATTTTCTTCGTAATAAGTATTGGCAAAATGATTTCAGCTAGGAAGAAATTTCCGGTTTTCCAGTATAGAGCGGTTACGCGACCCTAGAGCAACAAAATTATACATTCATGGCTCCGTAAAATGGCCAGAAATCATGGAAAGTGCAGTAAATGACATATGTCTACTCGATTCGCCGTTAGGATGTTGACCGTTTACCGATTGACCGTGGCGAGTTGTAATATCCGAATGCACCTGAGACCATAACTTGTGCAAGCAGCGGACCCTTCATAAACAGGGATCGTAAGCCGAACGCTCCCGCTGTGCAAGCAATAACAATGCCCGTGGCTAACCGGCTATACTTAGCCTGTGCTTGCTACGGAAGCGAGCGTTGCACGTGCGCGCACGCGCTTGTTCACGCTCACGCGAAACTCCGAAAGAAAGTATTGGGTATCCTGCTTCCGGCCTTTATCGCGATGGTTCCCGCGGACCCTGTGGCGTGCGGAATTTATAGCAGCGGACCCCTTTGACGAATTGGAGGAGCTATTTGATTACGTCGAATACCATTTTTCTCGGGAAACTTAACACCCAAACTACCGAGCAGTTAAATTGACTTCTTGAAATTCCTTTATAGAAATTCAAAGGGTGCATCTATTGAGACTTTACTTGCTTTACAATTCAGTTCTCGTATTCCTAAATCAGTTGTTCGAATAATTTCTCAGGGGAACGTCTGTTATTTTTTTTAATAATTGTAAAATGAAGACATCAGGGTCATTTTGGGCCATTTGGTGGTTTCAGTGTTAATCTGAAGACGCGCGCGAGCGTTTACTTCTCAGGACGTTTCGCTCCATTGCAATTCATCAGTTTTCACCGGAAGTTCTGGTCCTCCGCGCGAACGCGATTAAATTTTTCTGGAAATTAGAATTGAAACTACGGACGGGTGTATTTGAAATGAGACTAAAAACGGAG